GGTCAGGATTCTGTGCAGGCCAGTCAAGTTCCTCCACCCCAAACTTGCTCATCCATGTTGTTATGGACCTTGCTTTGTACACTGGTGCGCAGTCATGTTGGAACAGGAAGGGGCCATCCCCAAACTGTTCTCACAAAGTTGGGAGCATGAAATTGTCTATAATGTCTTGGTATGCTGATGCCTTAAGAGGTCCCTTCACTGGAACTAAGCCCAACCCCTGCTGAAATACAACCACACACCATAATCCCTCCTCCACCAAACTTTACACTTGGCACAATGCAGTCAGGCAAGCTCCGTTCTCCTGGCAACTGCCAAACCCAGACAGGTCCATCGGATTGCCAGACAGAGAAGTGTGATTTGCCACTCCGGAGAACACATCTCCACTGCCCTAGCGTCCAGTGGTGGCATGATTTACACCACTGCATCTGATGCTTTGCATTGCACTTGGTGATGTAAGGCTTGGATGCAGCTGCTCGGCCATGGAAACACATTCCATGAAGCTCTCTACGCACTATTGTTGTGCTAATCTGAAGGCCACACAAAGTTTGGAGGTCTTTAGCTATTGACTCTGCAAACAGTTGGCGACTTCTGTGCACTTCAGCATGCGCTGAAGCTGCTCTGTCATTTTACGTGGCCTACTACTTTGTGGCTTAGTTGTTCTCGGTTGCTTCCACTTTTTTTTTTTTTTTTTACAATACCACAGTTGACCATGGAATATAGTAGCAAGGAAATTTCAAGAATAGACTTATTGCACAGTTGGCAACCTATCATGCTTCTACAAATGTTTGTAGAAGCAGTCTGCATGCCTAGGTGCTTCATTTTATACACCTGTGCCCATGGAAGTGATTGGAACACCTGAATCAAATGATTTGGAAGGGGTGTCTCAATAGTTTTGACAATATAGTGTATGTGTATGTATATATATATGTGTATGTATATATATATATATATATATACACACACACACACACACATATACACACACATACACACACACACAAATGTTTTGCCTTTCATTTTAAACTGAATTGGTTGTTTACCAAGGTGAGGGTAAGGGTGTATTTTTTTTTTTAACTTGGCAATGATTTTACACATTCAGTGTTTTCTTTTAGATTTGTTTGAGAACCATTGCAAAGAAAAAAAAAAGACAACCAAATTGCAAAGTTGTGCTTAAAAGGAAGAATAAAACCAGAACAAGCCTTTTCTATCACAACCAGGATGCACAGCAATTATGCATGACCTATCAGCCTCTAAATCATATCTATAGCACCATGTGAAGATATCAGAGGTTTGTCCCCTGTGACTATAATCAAGTAATAAAAAAGACAATCAAATAAAACAAGTATATAACACATACAGCCATAAAAGCCTTGTGCTACACATTATGTATCCTCTGTATGCAAGAGGAATTATTTAAATTAGAATGATCACTTTATTTTTGGTTTCCTGTGTTTAAATATTTAAGGCTAGATTCACACTGTAATGCATGTATGTGAATTGTCTGCATAGGAAATAGGATTTCTACTTGTAATGCATCTTCATGAATCAAAACACACCATCACTTTTAGTGTAATTCATTGTCCTAATTTGTTGTTTTCCTATTTTTAAGTCCTTGGAAATACTGCTCTGTGTGTGAGGCGTAGCACGTAAAGGGTTAAATAATGACTACAGGATTCAAACAACCTGTATTTTTTATTTTGCTTTTCTCTGCTAGAATCCATGTATAAAGGAAGTTTTATTCTAAGCCATGATTGAGCAACTGTAAAAGTCTGTTTCACTGGACCTTGTAAACACCTGCAGCAGATGTTTCATACACTCTCCACCCAAAACAGGCCTGTTATTGATATCCCAAGGCTGACTTTTTGTCAAAGTCAGAGGCTAAGCCTCTTCCTCTAGTCATTGTCCCTGGTTGCTGATGTATGCAGAGAGCACTAACAAAGGGAGGCTGTAAATGTAATAGACGTGGGTTGTAATTAAGAGCCTGACTTCATCTTTTGTATGAGAAGTAAGAATGGGGAATACCTGGTTCTCTGGAGACAGACTGGAGTTTTGTTTACCAATTATGTACCAGTGAGTAATTTATAACTGAATTTACATTAAGCATCATTTTCCTGCAAAATCTTGTGAAAGAAAATGTTTAAGAGGCACACAATGACCTGGATGCTATTCGTGCCAATACCCCTCTTCAAATACGTTCACAAGGATGGAACATACGTCAATCAGTCAAAATTTTATGACCACTGACAGGTTTTTTTAAAGCGGAACTTCACCTGAAATGGGAAGTTCTGCTTTAAGTCCTCCTCCTCCTCCTCCTCCTCCCCCCCCTCTCCTTTTCCACATTTGGCATGTGATTTTTTTTTTTTTTGGGGGGGGGGGGGGGGGAAGAGAGAGAGAGAGAGAGAGAGAGAGAGTTTTGGACAGGTTCTCTCTTCTGCTTAGATTGCCTAGTTCTCATCCCCCAAAGTCTTCTGGGACACATCACAGGTCCCAGAAGAGTGTAGGACCATTCGCAAAGTGCAGCACGGCTCATTTAGGGGACAGTCAGCTATGAAGCTAAAAAGCAGCATAGGTGCCTGCCCACAGTTAGGATGCCACCACCAGGAACCCGAAGGCTACTGAAGAACTAGCATGTGTGAGGCCAGCACTGGATCCCTGGACAGGTTACTGCTACAGGATTTAAATGAAAATCACTATCCAATTACAATGACACCTGAAATTTAGTTGCCTATTTTTTCAGCTATCAGGGACATGTTTATGTTGCAGCCTAATATATCCATTACAGTTGGTTGTGTAGTCACAGACCAGTGAGGGTGCCCATGCTGGCCTGTGTCCACAGCCAAAAGCATCTACCATGAGTACGTGAGCATCAGAACTGGGCCACGGAGCAACAGAAGAAGGTGGGCTGGTCTGAGGAATCAGGTTTTCTTTTACATCATGTGGATGGCCAGGTGTCCATGTACATCACTTACCTGGAGAATTAATGGCACCAGGAAGAAGGCAATCCAGCAGAGGCAGTTTGATGCTGGGAAACCTTGGGTTCTGCCATTCATATGGATGTTACTTGACATGTAGCATTTACCTAAACATTGTAGGTGAGCAATTTCCCCCCCCTCCCCCAAATCATGAAAACTGTTTTCCCTGGTGCCAGCAACCTCTTGCAGCAGGATAATCTGTCCAACCCCACTGCAAAATTATTTTTCCAGTACAGATCAATTGAGATGTGGAGGCCAAGTCAACACTTCAAACTCGTCGTATTTCTCAAACCATTCTTGAACCTCGTCGTATTTCTCAAACCATTCTTGAACCTCAAGTCCAATCCATGGAGGCCCCACCTTGCAAATTACAGGACTTAAAAGGATCTGCTACTGATGGCTTGGTGCTAGATACTACAACATACCTTCAGCGGTCTAGTGACATCCATGCCTCAATCGGTCAGGGCTGTTTTGCCAGCAAAAGGGAGGGACTCACTATTAGGTGGGTGGTTATAAAATTATGTCTGAGGGTTGTATACTGTATAGGGAAACTTTGCCAAAAACACCTTTAGGCCTCATTCACACCATATGTGCAGAAAAATTGATGGAAACCAAGTGCAGATTTCACTTGCAGAGACATTAGTTTTCATGCACGCTTCAATGAATTTTATACATGTTGCCGATTCCAGAGCAGAAAAAAAATCTGCACATGATACTAGTGTTATGATGTGAACAGGACACAGAGAACAAATAGGGCAAATCTTCCAACTGGGGGCACTGCAGCTAGTGACTGGTAAGCTGTACAATATGGTTTTGTTTTTTTAGGCTTTCCACTCCCCCGCTGTTTTCACCTGGTGATCTGGCCAGTAACACACCTATTGTATTATACAGACACCAATCTGGATAAATGAGCACAGGAGGCAGATTTGGATAGCAGCATCTGCCTGGGGGGAGGGGAGTGTTAGGATTTCAGCTTTAATTTTAGTGTATGTGCTAGTACTTCTAATACATTATAATCAGCTACAGCTTTTTTCATTTTGAGATAACAATGTCAGTGGGTGCTTACGATAACAAGCTTTTAAGTGGTATGTCTCATCCCTTTACTTGCAAGAAAGCTTTTCTGTTGAACAACAACAGACTTACTAGTTAGATCACCACATGAAAATAGAAGAAAGCCAAAAAAGAAAACCCAATGCAGTCATCACATGTAAGAATTGGTATGCTGCAATATAATAAATGTTTGCTTTTGGGTTTCTTGCTGATTTAAAGTACTCAAATTCTCTAAGAAGCACCTCACCATTCCAGAATGAATAACCTCTCCATACACAAAGATTTAAAGATGAAATACCTACCACACCCCAAAAACTATTTCACAGTACTAACTGTAATACCATTTACATGATTAACAATTAAGAGAACAGCTGACTTATGGTATGTGTTATAACTCATTTACGTCTCACACCTTTTTTTTATCAACATTCCAGGATGGCACATTTATTAATAAATAACACAGTAAATGCACAAAGGCTGCAAAAATATTATTATAATTAGAAAAAAAAATGCAGATAACATCCACTCCTACTAGAAGTGTTTAATTTAGGTTTCAAATTTCTTAAGTGTCACAGTTGAAGGTATGAACTCTTGGCACTGGTACAGCTGAATACAATTTGGTTTCTGGATAGATCCTCAAAGGGCTGAATATACAGCAATACTTCCGTGTCATATAATTAATAAAGCAAGGATGGATGTTTCAGTATTTTCCTCTAGAAACACTGCTCTTTTTTTGTGACCATTTAAAAAAAACAAACTCTAAATTCAAGTTAGTCTTCAACAGGCTGACAAATCTTCCCCCCCCCCCCCCCATACTGGATACCAAAAGGAGTCTTTGAAAGTGATTTACTGCACTGGGCTGGAAGCCTGCACAGCAGACACTCCAAGCCATCTCCCAGGGAGTCCCTGTACAGCACTGTAGCAAAACCTGCATTCTCTCTCCTAGCAAAGTGCAGATGTGTATCACCAATGTGGTCTCTAGTTGAAGTTGAATTTAAAACCGAATGGCCCTCCTGAGCCAAATGGATTGAATCCCTGCCACTGGTTCCATCCACGATGAAAGTGGGCACCTCCTCCACCTTGCTGGCTCTCTGGGTCCAATGGATCTTCACCGGCATCAAATCTGCTCCTCTTTTCTGTGCAAACAGACATAATTGGTTATTAGGACTGATTTTTAATTTGTCCTTTTTAGTAGATGTGATTATGTCACTGCCAAATATTATGTTGAATTTTGTTTTACTACTCTACTGGGGTCTTTTTTGAAGCAAAAAAAAACATGTATGAATTTTGTGGTTCTAGGTACAAATTATAAATTTACATCCACAATAACTACAGTACATGGTAATTGTCATAAGTTAGGCTTTTGATTATTGGCCAATATTAGAAAACCAGTCTGCTGCCCTGATTGGGGCAGCTGGGTGCACATCTGCTGACAAAGGTATATAATACTGGGTGTTCAGCGATTAACAAGGATTTACCAAAGACTACAGTGACTTTCAGAAAAACACGAAGTCTGCATTAAAGCAGTCACTATACTCTATGAATACCAATTTCACAGTTTGCAGTAGGTATACGTTTTACCCATATTTAGGAAGGAATCTTCTACTTATATAAAAGATTTAGGGAGGAATAGAAGAATGCATTTTGCCAGTTTTGCTAGATATCTGGCAAGTAGGATTAAACACGATTCATTCTTCTTTTATGTGGGCACAATTATTTTCAAGAACATTAATAATATACACTGAATAGGAGAGAGATAACTAAAGAGAAGCATGTTCAATCAAACCCTCAGCTAAATTATAAACAGCACAAGTCTGTTCTTTCACAGATATTCATAGAGAACATCTAAAGTCCATGTCTACAAGTGAATTCATATTCTCCATACTGCATAAATACTATGATGAAATGCTGCTACATTATTCCTCCAGCAACGCAAACACGTTGACACGACACAGTGACAAGGATAACCGGTAGCTAAGCATTACCTGGATCTGTTAAGACTTCTTTAGCAGAAGCAATATCAATGAATTTTTTCTCTGCTTTCTTTTTCTCCTCCTCATCTTGGAAGTTATCAGGATGCCACTGCTGTGCCAGCTTTCTGTAAGCTTTTATGATTTCCTGTTTTTTGGCATTCCTGTGTGTCAGTGAAAAAAAGTTGAGTGTGAGAGTTTACATATTATTAGAATTCTCTCTACAGAACACTTTCAATCTTCTAGCATCTAGTGAATCTACTTCTACCAGCATTCAGTGGTCTACACTATGCAGGGAAGTGTAGAGCAGAAAAAGGTGTAAAAAAAAAAAAAAAAAAAAAACAAACCACAACCAACCACAGCACCCTGGTTTGCTATCGCAGTTCATCATGGCTGTCACACTGCATCTGATATTTTCACACAGCTACATGCATTTCCATGGTGTAGCCAGCTCGGCCACCAGAACAATGGACATGCATGACGCCAATCCAGGGCAGGCGGCATTCAGGGAAGCCCCAGCATCCCCCCCCCCCCCCCCCCCCCCCCGTGAGAAGAGGATGAAGTTCAACTCCCATTTATCTTGCGCTTCCTCCCGTACACTGCCGTGCTGGTAAAGATTGGGAGGTAGGACTCTCTTGTATAAAGGTGGGGAGGACTCTGATGTGAAAGGGAATGGAGGTGAGGGGATTGAGGGCTCTGATGTGAAAAGGGATGTGGGGGCACGAAAGGAACTGAGGACGCTTGTGTGAAGGGGGGCAGGACAGGTTGTGGGGTAATGGCTGATGATTGGAGAAGGAAGGTGGGGACTGAGGTCTCTCATTTGAAAGAAAACGGGGGGGGGGGGGGGGGAGAGAAATAAGGACTCCAATGTGATAGGGACCCATTTTAGACTGGAGGTGCCATATGCAGCTTAACAGAGCTGATCTTGCACAGCCCTCAGCTGTTTTTTTAGTTTACCTGTACAATGTCTCAAATCTACATCTTACAGGAGCTGAGAATGTCATTGTCCACCCATGAAAGAATTAGGCTTGCTTCTTTCAGGGCTTTTTGACTTCTGGTACCCCCTTGGTGGTTTATGTAGGCCACATCTGTGGCATTGTCAGACTGCAACCTGATTGGATTACCATGTAGGAAGGGGTCCAGTGTAGAAGAATCTATCTTATGGCTCTCAGTTGCAGGGTTGATGGGGAGCATTGTCTCCTGTGCAAAGCAGGTTCCCTGGACAGTCAGGGAATTTTAGACCTGGCCGCAGCCTATCAGGCTTGCGTTTGTCCTTGCCACCTTCCACGGAACAAACAGTTCTACAAAATTCTACAAAGAGTGCAATGTCATCCTAGAGACCTGGCAAAGTAAATTCTCAAAAGGAATCAACACAGAATAGCAGTGCTGAAAACGTGAGCTGCAATTGTTCCAGAAGAATAGGGTCCCTGAAGACAGGATCATATGCTCTTTTCATTTGCCCAGTCCAGTTAGCAAAAGTCTGACAAATAGACATGCAGTGGATATAAAAAGTCTACACAACCTGTTAAAAAGTCAGATTTCTGTGATGTAAAAAATGAGACCAAGCTAAATCATTTCAGAACTTTTTCCACCTTTAAAGTGACCTATAAACTGTACAACTCAATTGAAAAACAAACTGAAGTCTTTTAGGGGGGAAGTAAACATAAAAAACTAAAATAATGTGGTTGCAGAAGTGTGCACACCCTCTTATAACTGGGGATGTAGCTGTGTTCAGAATTAAGCAATCACATTCAAAATCATGTTAAATAGGAGTCAGTACACACCTGCCATCATTTAAAGTGCCTCTGATTAACCCCACATAAAAGTTCAGTTGTTCTAGTAGGTCTTTCCTGACATTTTCTTAGTCGCATACTACAGCAAAAGCCATGGTCCGCAGAGAGCTTCCAAAGCATCAGAGGGATCTCACTGTTTAAAGGTATCAGTCAGGAGAAGGGTACAAAAGAATTTCCAAGGCATTAGATATACCATGGAACACAGTGAATACAGTCAACATTAAGGGGAGAAAATATGGCGCAATAGTGACATTACCAAGAACTGGACATCCCTCCAAAATTGATGAAAAGACGAGAAAAAAAACTGGTCTGGCAGGCTGCCAAGAGGCCTACAGCAACATTAAAGGAGCTGCAGGAATATCTGGCCGTACTGGCTGTATGGTTCATGTGACAACAATCTCCCGTATACTTCATATGTCTGGGATACCTTTTCTCATCAGCAGTATATAGCAGTCTTGTGACTTCTATCAGTGTCCAGCTGATCAGCGGTTTAAAACTTGTAGGAAGAGTTCTCATTCTTCTCTGACTGTCCTATTAGGCTGCATAACCTCTCACCCTCTGCCTGGACAGTGCCGATTGGCTCTGTGCTTATCACATGCACCTTCCCAAAGCAAAAAAAAAAAAAAAAAAAAAAAAACACTCTCTACCAATACATACTAAACTTAGTACAGAGCTCTAGGAGTCACTCTGCAGCATTCTATCAGCAGATGGATTGGGAACTGTGGAAGAAGGGGAGGATCAGAGAAGGCAGGATTAAACAGCCTTTTAACACAATGCGGAGGATTAACCCCTTAGGTTCCACAGTGAGTATAAGGCTTCATGTACACGAGCAGCTCCTAAACTCAAGTATAGGAGGCATTTTTTTGCCAAAGCTCCTAAACTCAACTCCATAAAAGCCTATGTGTCCATGTACACATAGGCTTTTAGCAGAGTTTAGGAGCTGCCGCGTTTAGGTGAGGTTAAGCCTTCCTCTCCTGAACATGGAAGAATAGTTCAGGATAGAAACATTCTGACCTCCGGCAAATGCAAAACGCGTCAAAATCGCGGTACTGCAGCTGACACGGTTTTGCTTTTTCCTGAGTTGTATAGTTAAAGGTTACACTAAAGGTGGAAAAAGTTGTGAAATTATTTATCTTTGTCTCATTTTTTTTTACACCACAGAAACCTGACATATTAACAGGGGTGTGTAGACTTTTTATATCCACTGTAGCTGTGAAGGCCTGCTGAAAGGCAGGACCGGCAAGAGCAAACGTTGCCTTCAGTAGGGGTTCAAAGCGACTATCAACAGAATCCTTAAAAAGGAGAAGTTCACCTTTTGCTAAAAAAAAAAGAATAAATTTGCAATTTCAAATGATTTGCAAGTAAAAAAAACCGCACATTTATTATTTTTTGTTGCAAGAGCCTGTAGACCATTGCACCAGCGACCAGCAGATAGCTGGTGCCATGCAGGTCTCCTGCAGACCTGTCAGTATATCCGCTTGTCTGTATAGGATCTACAGCACGGGAAAGCAGATATACTGACAGGAAGAATCAATGAACTACCACGGCACTCAAGTGTCAAGAACTTTTATGCTTTTTTTCAGTGCTGTCACATTAGTGTGATTAAATCACCCCAAACCCCCTACACCCTCGTCCCCCCCACTCCCCCCCCCCCCCCCCCCCCCCCCCCCCCCCCCCCCCCCCCCCCCCTTTAGCTGATCTGCACCTTGCCTCTGCCATTGCTAGGTAAGAATCCCTTGAGGGGGGAAATGGATGCAAAATGAGAGGGTATGCAAAATAGTTATTGTTGCATTAATGGACACTGGAGCAATGGGAGCAAAGTGGTTAATCTCCATACAATACAAACTTTGACTTTAAGGCTTCAAGAAGCTCCCCAATAGTTGGTAAAAGCTTTGTTACAGTTGCTGTACACACTGCTGTAATACAAGCTGTAACCTACATGTACATGACCTTACACAAAATAAAAAGTAATATTTCCCTAAACAAGTATTTTAGTGTGTTATTAGTGTCTGTGTAAGTGGCAGCTTTTCCCTGCACTCAGGTTTCATTCCCCGCACACAACACTTATAAAGCAAAGCAATTATGATTTACGGAACCCTAGAGTAAAGTCCGTGTGCAGGGGATCAATGTAAATGGGGTCACTGCTGAACAGAAACCAGCAAGATATCTACTAGTTTCTTCCTAATCAGTAAATATAGGCCCTTGTTCTGCTCTGTTCTTGGAAGTTAATTTTCATTTAGCGGTACATTAGTGTACGAATGCCTACATCACTCAAAGGACGTTATAGTGATGATTTGAGTAGCTACTGATGTGCTCTATAAAAATGTTTTTGTTGCTAAGAAAAAAAAAATAATCACAATTGATGAAAGTCTGTGTGGCCAACATTCCAAGCAATTTACAGCTCCGTTACTGAAAAACCGACTTTTTGCAATGTTTGCATCTAGCTGCAGTATTACCAGCTTCAGGGGCCTATGCATGTTGTCCAATTTAACTGCCGATGACGATGAAGCACCAGATTTAAAAAGCGATCTACAAATCAGCTTAGAAAACAAGCAAACAGATTTGTAATTGCTACAAAAGTTGGTAGCGTGACATGGAACAAAGTCCCTAACTGCAGATTGTAGTTGAGAACTACTGTAAAGCACATCCCTTGGGACACCTGAAGCTAGGAAAAACCAGTACCATGGGTGCCCAATAACAAAATCCAGAGCAAAGAGAATGGGAGCAAAATTAGAGAGAATGTCTACAGCAACCTATCAGATTTCTTCTGTGCTTGAACTGAAAAATGACTGGCAGCTATAAGTAACCACTCCATATTTCCCTAGTTTCTGTAAAGAAAATCGAGCATTTTAGGCAAACAAAACAGTTGAAGCTTGTTTATGAAGACACCAATGAAATAAATAGAATTAAAATCTACCTTTTTACCCCCAAGATCTTGTAGTAGTCCCTTTTTTGAGATTGCTTCAGAAGCCTTTGTGCTTTCTCTAGACCCTCTCTGATCGCTTTGTCATCACTGTGCTGCTGTGCAGTTTCATAGTCCCGAATAGCTGCCAAAAAGAAGAGGAATGGTTATAACACTTGGACTCATTTGGTGCACATAGACTAGAGCATAGAATTGCTGTTACACAAGACAGTATAAAGGCAAACTGCAGTTCCAGCTGAGTGTTCCAAGATTCACCTGGAGAAACCCTCCTGCTCTAACAGATGTCGCTCTTGTTCTCGAAACATCACGAACATCAAGCCTCAGTCTAACACATATTTTGTAAGTCTATTAAACAAATCAGGAGCAACGTACTCTTTTTATAGTTGATGGAAAAAAAATGAAGGCATTATTTGACATAAAGTGTTAATATCCATTAATGCTTTCCTACCTCCAAGTCGTTCTATCTGACATGAAACTGCCATCGGTTTGCCGAGTTCTATTTTAGGCCTAAGACTCCAAGGTGTCTTAAGTAAGACAAAGTATTTGCATCAGATGATTTCCAAGCAGATGTTCTCGCTCAGCAAGTGTTACATTTGTCTTTTGTGCCGTTTCCTAGCAAGACAGCAGGAGGTGCCAAGCAATTTATATTACTTAGACATTTGACAGCTCCGTGCAAATCTGTCCTGAAATATGACATGAATATATGAATCTGCAAAACATTACTCCTGAAATTCAAGGAATAGGAAATGACAGAAGGGCCACTACAAATGTAAAATTCTCACAAGTGGAGGCTTCCCCTACACGCAGGAACATCAACATGCACATGAATTCATCTTCAGCTTTCCTGGGAGGCTTCAAGCAATATCCATAAATATATTTTATTCTCCAACAAGTGCCTTAATAAACTGCACATAAAAAACTGTGTTCACCATCCACTGAAGATAAACAGATGCTCAAAACAACATTTACAACTTTGTCAAGGAAACGTACCCGCCAGCTGCTGGCAGGTTAATATAGTGTCCAGGTACTAATAACCTCAGTAGGAAGTCACGGCTTCATTCGTACTTTGTAAAAGTAATAGCAGCATCAATACATCACATCTGTGGTCATGTCAACACTAAGATAGAGGTGCTAAATGATCGCTTAACATGGAGACAGTGAAAAAGTGGAGTTAATTAATAAAAATATTGTAATCTATGATAAATTCTACACAGCTTGAGGATTATTGTGATGCTCATTCCATAGGTTTTTATGGGATGTACTAGAATTAAAACCATGTTGGATATAGGAATCTGACAAACTGCATCAGAACAGGTTTGATCAGCATATAGTTGTAAAGCCATTTACAACTCTGACCTGAGCTACATTAACAAATTTTGTCTCCAAATACAACCCAAACTGTTCTCTCTGCTCATTCAAAGACCTGCTTTCTAAATCCCTCGTCTCCTCCTCCTATGCTTGTCTCTAGAGCCTCTCCAATCCTCTGAAGCTTCCTAACCCAATCTGCCTGGCTATCTCCTGCGCTGTCCACTTTTAGGCGATCCCTGAAAATTCATCTCTTCAGGGAAGCCTATCCTGCCTTCAGCAAATAACCAAAATCATTTATTTTTTCCCCATCAGTTCATCCTTCACAGTTATTTACCCTTTTGTTCCACCAGCCCTCCCTATTAGATTGTAAGCTCCCAGGAGCAGGGCCCTCCTAACCCTCTTGTACTGAATTGTATTGTTGCTGTATTGTCTCTTTTATATTGTAAAGCGCTGAGCAAACTGTTGGGCCCAATTTGGACATTTTCACTTAGGGCTGTGTGTGGAGTTATTTTGAGAGGACAGTAAATTTACACTATTATAAAAGCTGTACACTCACTAGTTTACATTATAGAAAAGTGTAATTTCTTCAGTGTTGTCACATAAAAAGATATAATAAAATATTTACAAAAATGTGAGGGGTGTACTCACTTCTGTGAGACACTGAGACACACACACACACACACACACACACACACACACAACACACACACACTCGTTTGATGGAAATGAAAATTATCAGCCTACAGAGAGAAATTAATTTAAAGACACCCCAAAAATCAAAGTAGAAAAATGATGCAGGAGGTTAGTCCATTTTGCTGAAATTTCCTTGCAGCAAAATCAAAATGCTACTCATTAGTTTGTATGACCCCCACGTGCTTGTATGCATGCCTGACAACGTCTGTGGGAAAAAAATATGTTCTTACACAAATCATAAAGAGCATTCAGTCCCATGAAACTTTGAAGTAAAAAAAAAAAAAAAAAAAAAAAAAAAAAAAAAAAGAAGGAACAAAACAAAAAAAAAAAAAACAAACAAAATACAAAGTCCACTCCTGTGTCTTCTTCCCACTTTAAACATATATCACCAATAGTGCCCTACATTGACTTCCACTAATCACCCCAATCCACTGTAACCCACCAGCTCATATTGCCTCCCAAACACTTTTGCTGAAATATGAGAGGCAATAGGATCTAGTGAGTTACACTGGATTGGGATGATTGGGTGGTAGTCACTGAAGGCACTGCTGGTGATATATGTTTGAAGTAATTTTATAAACACAAGTCCACTCCTGTGTCCTCTTTGCGCTTTGTTTAACCTCTTGACTCTGGCAGCATGGGTGGGTGGGCCTTAACGCCGAGCAGCCACATATATGCGGTCCTGTAAGAACAACTTACCGCGCGGAGAGCAACAAAGTGGAGAAAACTAAAAGCCAAAATCTGACATTTCACACAAAACCCAAAAATGGACTGGACAAAATGAATGACACCCTCAATGTAGCAGACTCCTTGGAAAAAATAACTGAAATGAATCTCTTCCTGTAACCATCAATAAAAGTTTCTTACACCTCTCTACTACTGGAATTCTGGACCACTCTTCTATTGTCAACTGCTCCAGGTCTCTCAGATTAGAAGGGTTCCTTTTCCCAACTGCTGTTTTGAGATCTCTCCACAGACGCTGTATGGGATTGAGATCTGGTCTCATTGCTGACCAGTTCAGTATTCTCAAACATTTTGAAACAATTTCTGGGTGCTTTTTAACGTGTGCTTCAGGCCATTGTCCTGCTTTAATACCCATGACTTTTGACAAAGACTTAACCTTCTGACATTGGGCCCTACATTGCACTCCAGAATTCTTAGGTAGTCTTCAATTTCAGAATGCCATGCACACGGTCAAGACATCCAGTGCCTGAAGCAGCAAAGCAACCCCAAAACATCAGCGACCCTCCATGTTTTGACTGTAGGGACTGTATTATTTTCTTTAAAGGCTTCATTGCTTTCTCTAAACACAGTAAAATGATGGGCTTTACCAAAAAGCAGTTATTTTGATTCGTCTGTCCACAGTACATTCTTCCAATTAGATTTTGGCTTCCTCAGCTAAGTTTTTGCAAACTCCAATCTGGCTTTTTAATGTTTCTGTGTCAGCAGTGGAGTCCTCCTGGGTCTCCTATCATAGCATCCGTTTTCATTCAGATGGCATGGTATACTGCAGATTGACACAGTTGTATTCCCTGTGCCTGAAGATCAGCTTGAATTTGTCTGGAAGTTGATTAAGGTTCTTTAGCCACTATTCGAATATTCCTTTGTTGGAATATTTGATCAATATTTCTCTTTCATCTACGTCCAGGGAGATTAGCTGCAGTTCCATGGGCTGTAAACGTCTTGACAATGCTGCAAACAGAGGACACAGGAACATTAAGATCTCTGGAGATGGACTTGTAACCTTGAGATTGTCCCCTGCGTTCCCCCAATTTTTGTTCTCAAATCCTCAGACAATTCTTTGCTGCTCTCTCTCTTCTCCATTCCATGCTCCATGTAGCATACACAGACACACAACAGAAAGATTGAGTCTATTTTTCACCATTTTAACTGGATGCTAGTGTGATTTCTATCTTTTCAGCACTTGATAATTGATAGAGGTGAGGTTAATTACAAATTACAGGAGCATCACAAACTTAAAATTGTAAGCAATAATTGCATTCGGAGAAGGTGCCAATAATTTTGTCCAGTCCATTTTGGGGGTCTTGCGTGGAATACGTCTGATTTGGCCTTTTGTTTCTCCACTTTTTTTGTGTCATACCAACACAAACAAAAAGAAATTAAAACACGATAATGCCTAAACATTTGTAATTGCAAAAATTTTCTGGGCAAAGTGGAGCATCATCTTGACAAAAATGCAGACTGTATATGAATATGTAAAGCACTGCGTAAATTGTTGGTGCTATACAAGTACCTGCAAATAATAAAAATAAGTGCAGAAGTTCTTCACTTCAGTTTAGTTGCACTACTGGTTTCACTGAACTAGGATTGTGCTTGTATAACTGGTTTTGGTTTTAGCATTCTTGATTTGATGAAACCCATCACCACTATTTCCGTTTGCAACAAACATTTAAAAAAAATAACAAAATCCAACAATTTTTTTAAAGATCACTAATTGACACTTAAGTAGGATATAACAGTTGTATATGAAGTACTGATAAATGTATATCTGATGTATTTCATTGTGTTTTAATTATTGGATAATCACTGTACACATTACGTTTTAGCATATGGATTTTCTTTGAGCGCTGTACCACATTTAGCTTTTTATTCACGTTGTTATTTTACGAATACTATTGAGCTTGTGATATAGGAACAATATTTGCGGTCTCAACATACTATTTAGTTACCATGTATTCACAGTTTAGGATAAAACACATACACAGAACCTTTTTGTTTTGTACAAACAAGGCTTTCTCTTGCAAAACATTTTATTTTCTATGCAATCTGTAGGCAAAATATGTAACAAAAAGGAAATGAAAGTGCCCAACAATGGTTCCTGTGGATAAAGTGGACTTTTTTTTTTTTATTTGTCCTATTTATAACTACAGTAAAATTATGTTTCTATTAGAAAGCATGACAGTTATTTAGAAATGAAATAAAAGCAATTTTTTTCTCTATTGAAAATGTTCTTTTCTTTTATGTGTTCTTAAAAAATGAACCACTTGTCTAATGTCTGCAGCTGCTGACCTAATTTTTGAAACCACAGTGAAGCTTCTCTTTAAGGAAGAAAATAATAATAAATATAGCGAGTATAGTAAAGAATCACCTCCTTTAAAATTA